ACCAAAAAAACAGAACTCCACAAACAATTCCAAGAGAAATGCAAAAACTCAAGCTAAACTAGGACAGAGTCTAGTCGAAGCAATAATTTAGAAAGGTTATAAATAAGGCTGCCGACTGTGTTTGGTTTTGCATGCCCCACAGCTCGTACTGGCGAGGTTTTCGGTTTATGCACTTACAACTTTCCATTAAAAAAAAAAAAATAGTAAAAAAAAAACTATGTCAGACCCAACAAATTTTTATGCCATGGCAATACGATGCACTTAACACTATCCAAAGTGCAAATATACACGAGACTCGTTCTATATGCACACTTTTTTCGATTTATATGATTGTAGATATGTATATATATATGCAGCTATATACATATATATGTATTAATTTATGTACTTGATTTGTATATTTGCCGTGCCATTTGTAGGAGTTAAATAAAAACGCATACGAGTTGCGTGTCGAGACAAAATGGTACGCAAAAGATAAAATATCTGCTGGTCCGTAAAAATTAGTGAAATTAAAATTTTTTTTTGTGTAAATTAAGTTGGAAACCCAAATTTTAAAATTAATTGAATTGTATATATTATGGAACAATACTCTTTAAATGCTGCGGGTTAAAATTGGTTTGGCGGGCAACAAAAACAATATTAAGTTATTTTATATGTAAAAATAAAGTTCGTATTGCCAGTGGCGATTTCTGAGTTTCAGCATTTTGAGCCAATAAGATTTGCCCCATATTTAAAATAAAATAAAAAACATTAAAATTTTATTAATGAAAAATTCATATAAAAGAGCACCAATTATTTATAAAGTATTTAAATTATTTTGTGGTGCACAAATTGGCTAAAGAATTCTTCAAAAAATTCAAACAATTAATGAATTTCTTTAAGTAAAATTCTATGAGGCATTTACGCATGTAAACTGGAGTTTTTTTTGAAACAGGTATATAAATATATGTTTATATTATTATATATATATGAAGCTAGTTGAGTCAGTGCACTTGAGCACTTTTACTCTGTATTAACTACGAAGTTTCTTCATAATCCCTCTCTACGCCTTGACTGGTTTATTTTATTCCCTTCATCAGACTAAGCAATAATTGACCTCAGCTCTGCATACCTCCCCGAGGAACTGTAATCATTCTGAGATTCGATAACGCGGTCTTTGAATGCCTGTCAGTTTTTGTAAATAATTTCAGGGCTCTATGCTTTATTTTTTTTTTGATTGAATCAATCTTAACATCCCTAAGGATGTGATTCGTCCTAATGCACCATGGTACCTTGAAAAACCTTCTCAGAGTCTGTCTTTGTGCAATTTCTAGCTGACGAATATTACAAGAAGAACACCGATTTTATTTGTGTTTTTTCGAGTCATTGAGTATAGATCTGCTACTCGTCACTCCACTATTGGCAGCCGATGTAGTTAGTTTGTTGTTGTGGATATAAGCGCGCTTCTAGGCATAATCGCAAATACTTTCAATTTACTACAAACAACAGATGTCTACGATGTGAATGAGCACTATGTCTAAAAAAATTATTTACGAATATTTAAATATAAGAAATAATTCCAAGACCACTGATAGGTATTTGGCAATACTTGAAACAGTACGGTCAGCCAAAAATTTAATTAATTAAAATAATATAAAAATAATTTTTGTTGTTGTAGTTCACTTCTTTTTAAAACCTTTTCATTACACACAACAATTTCTTCTAAGCAAAAATAGTTACTACAGTCATATTGATGTTAAAATCAAGTAAAATGCTTATGTTTACAAGGATTATTTTTTTAGTACTGACTTTGGTTGCAAAATAGCATTACGTATTGATTATTTATTAATATCAATTAATAGTTGTGAATATTCACTACATTTATAATTTTTAGAATGTAATTTTAAACAAATATTTTGTTCTTCATCGTTTGTATCCACACTGGAACCATCTTCACTTGCATCGATTCTAATTAAACTTTCTAATAAAAAAGCTTTTAATTCAGTAATTATAGTTTAGATTTTTTAAGAACATATGCAATTGTTTTTTTTTTATTATTTTTTTCCAATATTCTAATTACTTGCTACTAAACCACATCACAAATCATACTTAAATGTGCAGAATAATACTTCATTCATATTTGCATTTACTCTAAATTCCATAAAAAATGAAAATAAATACTAATGTATATTTATTATTTAAAGACTATTAGGGCAAGTTTTTAAAATAAAAGAGTGCTTGTATTATAGTTATACTTACTATTATGTTTAACATATAATACTCATCTATATAAAATTGTCGAAATTTTTTTGACTTCAAATATAAAGTTTAAATAGAAAAGTACTATAAAAATACAAAAAAACAAAAATATGAAAATAAATTATTTTTTATTCATTATTTATTATATATGGCAATTCTCAAAACAGTGCTGTATAGTCAGCCAAATTTCAATAGATTAACTAAATTTTTGTTCTTGTCTTTTCTTTGCTATTCGAATCCGTCTAAATTTTAAATAGTTTCTTTTCGTCATAAAGACGAGTCTCTATCGGCAAGAAAATATTAACAGAAATTATTATAATTTTTTGCAACATATTTTGTACTCAAAGCCTCACTTCAATCTGTTGATTGTAATGTAGAATCATATACATGATTCCCTCAAAAAATATTTTTTTCTATAATTCTATTATTCTGTGATCAAACACCTTTTATTTATTCCTGTATCTTTAACTATATCACACAGCTATAGGTACATATTCATTATTATTGCCAGTATAAGTTGTAGATTTGAAGCAAATATGAATTGTTAACTGTGGAGTTTTATTATGGACTTCTAATCCCAGATTTTTTATTTTCAAATTAGTTTCTTTTATATTATTTATATTGGTATTCATTTGACTTTTGATTGAGTGGACGGTGTATGAATGCGTTTTCTTAATAAGTCTTAAGCATTTAAGTATATCTATATACATAAATATATATATAAAAATATATTATAGTATATATGTTATATAAATAGTATATCTTTTTTAAGAAAATATATCTGCAGAAACTATTTTAAAGGAATTGAGTTCGAAATAAATACTTTCTAGAATACTATAGTATTTCTATAGAAACAATACATGGGGTAGTATCTTAAGTCAAAATCGCTAAAGTAACGTAATCCCTCAGATTAACATCTAATTCAATAGAATGCCTAAAAAGCTATGACAATTGTTAATTGGATAGCGATGTTTCAACCAGTACTTATTTAAATAATGTAAATAACTCTCTTTGCTCACACTGCTCTGAAGAACTCGAAAACATATAACTCAACTTATTTTCCTGCCCCCGTTATGAGATAGAAAGAGCGAATGTGATGCTTCTTTTTAGGCTGCTATTAAATATTGCAAGCTTAATACAAGAAAGGTATGGGTGACTTACGGTCTGCAGATTTGCAACTAAAGAAATGAGTACACTATAAATAATAGAATGATTTCGCAAAACAAACAGTAAAATGGAATGATTGAGGACAAAGTTAACAAGCCAACAAACGTACAACCAACCATGCAGAGAAGATATTAGCGAGTTAAAGTTATGCACTACCCTTCTCTGTAATTCTCTAGCCACCATAAAAGTGACACTTCAGTCAGCACAAGTCACTTCAGAGACGTCAAATAACACTATCTTGGAAGTAACGCCTGTCATACAAAATATTACCTTCACATTACGATCACTTTCCAAATATTTTCACATACGCTCTGAAAACAAGATAATTAAAAAGAACTAAGTTTAAGTATCGGTTCAAAACAATTTGTTTTCTTTAGATCTGGTACACAACCCTCTTTTTTAATTCTCTTTTGAGATCTTCTTACCAATTATGAAATCAATCAATATTTCCGGTTCACTGTTTATGATGATTAGGAAAAAAATACATTTTATTATAAATAGTTCAGATTAAGCTTAAATCAAGGAGTCGTGTAAATAATTAATAAATAAATAATATAATACAATAAAATATAATTATAATTTTAAATAAATAATTATTATATTATTATTAACATATTATTATTATTAATTATTAATTAATAATTCATTGAAGAATTTATAAAGAGGTTTCTCGAAAAGTTTTGAACAACAATAAACAATTCATTTTATATTATTTTAATTAAATGAATGTTTGGCTGATTATACAGCTGTTTCGAGTATGGCCAAATAACCACCTTTAGTGGTCTTGGAAATAATTCCTGTATTTAATTATTCGTAAATAATTTTTTGAGACTGCAAGCATCAGAAATCGAACTCGTGCCCTGCCAAATTTGAAGCTCAGAGTCAGCGCTCCTGAACCACATTTTGTTACTTTGCTGTGAAAGCTTTCACTTGCGAGAATTTCACGAGAATTTATTACAAAAAAAATTTAAAATATTTATTAATCGATAGACAATTCCAGAAAAATAAATTTATTTACTTTGTAGTCCTTATTCCGTATCCTCTGTATGAAAACTCGAGAATTCATGCCGAGCAATTGATAATTTAAGAACTGGTTTCTATGTAATTTAAGAATACATAAAAGTTTTGATAGCATTTGAGGTACATCAATGATTTCGTTGACATTTTGCCTGCAAATATTAATTTATCTTTTTTCTCATTGCGTTTATTCGACGACCGGAAATCGAAAACCGTGCTCCATTTTAATTTTTTTTCATATTTTTTTTTTGTTTTTCACTACAATTCCAAATGGATTACCGAGGATATTAATTTGAAAATATGCAAAGCGGATTTGCGGTTTGCTGAATGAGTTTTTTCCGCACTGAATACTATAACTTTTAACTGCTTAACTCACCCTAAGTAAATTTAAGTTGCAAAATTTAAGCAATTTTAAATAAAGAAAAAAAAACTTAAAAACAAAAAATAGAAAAAAAAATAAATAAATAAACTCGACTTTATTGCAATATTGAGTTTGCGAGAAACTTTTAAGAAGCAATTAAGCTTGAAATGCAATTTTCAATAAATTACTTTAAAATGACTTTTTTATTGAAATACAGGGTACACAGAAAATTGCATTGCCGTACCAAGCGAATCAGAAACTAACCGTGAAACAGATATTAACTCACTTCACTGGCATTGACCCATCGACGACAAAGAATCCAAAGGAAATATTTGCTGCTGACATACAGAAGGATCTGCTGTTGTTGGAGGAGCAGGAAGGTTCGGTGAATTTTAAGTTTGGCGTTGTCTACATGAAGCCAGGACAAAATTGTGATGATCAAATGCTTAGCAATCGTAAGTACTGGAAAGAGGATTATAAAGAAAATTTTCTTATCAAGCTTAACTAAAGTTAAATTAGAAAAGTAGTATGAAAAGTATGAATATAATCCTCATGTGGCATTTAGTTGACATCTAGTTACTTTCAAAAAAAAAACTGCATGAAACTTAAATTACTTAAGCACCATAAAGTGAGCTACTGCAACGCTGCTTTATATGCAACTGCAGGAAAAACCGTTAAATAATTTTGCTATTTTTTATGCATTTCCCCATACCCCATACCCCACAGCCCATACCACATAACTGACATTTTATCACGGTTCTATTGTTTTCCTACGTGCCACGTCTCCTTCTAAGAGATTCATTAAAAATTGTTGTGCATTGCGCTTTTGTTTCATTTGCAGAGGAAGCCAGTCAGGACTTCGAGGATTTTCTTGACGTACTTGGCGAACGTGTGCGGCTTAAAGGTTGGGATCGCTTTCGCGGTGGCTTGGATGTGAAAGGTAAGCACAAATACAAGTTGGAATATATATATATATATAGTATAGAAATATATTAAAGCAAAGAAACCTGCATTTGCTAGAGACTTTAAGTCATTTGTGGTTTTATGCGGAAAATGTGCTTATTTCATAGCGTTTCACAGTGTTATCATCAAAACTTGAAGTCAAATTACTATTCCATGAACTTGCATAAAATATTTAGTGGTTTTATCTGTATTTATATTTTTTCCACTTTTTCTGTTAAAGGTGATATGACTGGCAAATATTCTGTTTATACTATGTACGAAGGACACGAAATAATGTTTCATGTTTCAACACTTTTACCCTTTTCAAGGGATAATCGACAACAGGTGCGTCATTATAAATGCTTAAAGTTCAATTGAGTGCATTTATCGTATGAATTATAATAAATTTAAGCAGACTTTTTTCGAATCCTTACACAAATTTGTTTTTTTTTTTCATTTTCTTACAGGTGGAACGTAAACGTCATATTGGCAATGACATTGTCAATATTGTATTTATTGATCAAAATACTGTCAATACAAACACGTTGGGTGCCACGCCACCTGATAAAGTTTTGCCAACAATGTTTGACCCCACTTGGATTAAAAGCCAATTTACACGTATCCTTTTCCACTAACCAATTAAGATTAAATTACTTTTAATAATTTATTTCACCAATTCAAACTTTTCTTAACTCAAACCTTAACACAAACACAGATATTTTTGCAGTTGTTACGAAAATCGAGCAAACCTTCCGTTTGGCCGTGTTTTGTGATGAGAATGTGCCACCTTTCGGACCAACGCTACCTAATCCACCGGAGTTTTCGGTAAGTGAAATACACACCCAAAAATGCTAAAAGGTTTATAATTTTTTATTTAATTATCTGATTAAGCCGTTTACAAACGGAAAGGTTTAGTATAGCTTACCTTACGTTTGGAACTACGTTTTGTATAATTTAAATGATTTTTATAATCTTTTAAAAAAAAATTTTTTCCCCAAAATCACTTTTTTAATTAAAAGAACATAATTTTCTTTTTTCTTAAATTATTTTTTATAGCAAAACATTGTTAAGCGTTTTATTTTTGTTATAAAACGAAGCACAAAATCTGTTGAATGTAATATAAATTTTACCGATTTTATATACTTCAAAAAAAGTATTTTTTTCTACAAAATACTTATACACTAATATACTAAAATAAATACTAAATATATACTAAATAAAACACTAAATACATTAAATTGAAATAACTTTAAAATAAATAACGTTAAATAAATTTAACGTCATTTTTTTTTTCAAATGAGACGTGTCTTATGACAAACTAAAAGGGTTTGAACAGTAATAAAGAAACAACAACAAAAATTTTGTTTAATTTATTAAAATTTTGATTAATTATTGAAACGCTCTTTTGAGTATTGTCAAGTACTCATCCTTATGGTTCTTAGGCAATATTAAAACTGTTATTTAATAGTTAGAGGGATTCGAATGGTAATAAAAAGACAACAACAAAAACTTTAGTTAATTTTTGAAATTTGGTTGCCCATGCAAACGTTGTTTCGAGTATTGCTAAATACTTATCATCAGTAATCTTAGAAATACTTACCTAAAATTCATTATTTTTAATGGCTCCGAAACAATCCATAATAGGTAGACTCAGAAAAAAATATGGTCTAAATAAATACAGGTTAATTTGACTTGATAATTTTGTTAGAAAATTTTTATGTCATGTGATAAAGAAGATATAAAAATCAACATGTGAACCAACCTGATATATCAAGTAAGAATATTTTGACCTAAGATTTAGTTAAAATCTGGTTAAATCAATCAATTTATTTTTATGAGTGTAGTTATAACGAGGACAAAACTATTTTTCTTTATAGAGAGTTGAGGTGGTTAAGAAATAATTTCCAAATATTGTGACCTAACATAATTTCGAAAAACTATTGAGAGTGATCCATCAGTAGAATATTAACACTGAATTAAAAAAAAAGATATATGGTTGCCAGGGTCATACTCTAGTTGGTACCCACAAATTGCAAAATGTCGTGGAAGACCTCAATCAACGACATGAACAAGGACAGTTTTAATGGAACTTAGAAATCATTTAATGAACTGTGTACTAATAGCACACAGTAATAGCCTTAAGCTTCTAAAAAGTAGTAGGGAAATAATAATTATATTGCGACAATAATAAATTTTATTAAATGATATGATGTCGATTTAACTTATTTTGATACTTAATCTGATGATTAAAAAAATGATATTCATGTTTTACTACCGAAAATAAACAATAAATTATTAGGGATTATGTGTTGAGAAGAGTAGATATATGTTAAATATCAATAATAAGTATTTGTAATTTTAAATGAATATTATTTGAACAATAAAAAGAGATGACTAATTATTTCAGAGATTAATATACTGAAATTATTATAAAAAATTTATGAGAAATAATATATGCTTTGTGATGTGAAATGTTGGATTATATAGAGTACTTAATAGTATTTTGGCATATATTTCGTTTACGTTGAAGTAGTTAATCCTTCAATATATACTGTATATAAATACCATTTCATATAAATAAATTGAATTTATTTTGTATATTTTGAAAGCCAATTAAATTTAAATTGTATTTTCTGTTTTTAAACCAATTCAAATCCTTTGAATTCATTTCTGATTTTTATTATTGAAAATTCAAATCAGCGAATTGAGACTTATTTGAATATCATATAAATATATATATAATATTTTTTCATTCCAAATATTTTTTCTACATATAATTTAATATCCAAAAAATAATTCTCTATAGTTCGAAATAATTATTCAATTTAAACTTTTTTCTATTTAATTACAAGTCATTTAATTGAACACTTCTGTATGTCACATTTAAAACTGAAAATATCAAAATAGAACGATTTGTTCTGACAATCAATAAAAACTTTTTGTTCCATTGAATGGTGAAAAGTAAATATCAAAAACTACAATTATTTATTGTTTATTTTTCAATTATTTGATTATTTGCAGTGAAGGTTCAAGGCTTTCGTTTTTATAACTGAAAAATATTGATTTTATGGAATTCACGTATTTTCAAATCAATGCAGATATATAATTAAAGGACCTTCTTCAACTGCAATGCAAACAATTTCATAATTATTTTTTTGATTATGACTACTAAGCAAATAGGTTGGGATTTTCTAAGCTAATGCATCCTTAAAGACGCACTTCATCTGTACACACCTACGAGAATTCTTGAGTACAAAGAGCGGTGTTCGCAGGAACACAAAGCGAATTAATTCACATGTCTTACACACGCACACTTCAAACATTTCACATCAGAAATGAAAGCAATTTTCGTTTGACGTGGCCTTTTTAACCATAAAAGCTGAGCTGAACTGAACTGAAATGCTGAACTCCGTTTATGGAATCCCATAAGAGCGGGGTTCTTTGTGTGAAGTCAAGGAACTTAATTGTTACTTGAAAGGAAATCCGAAATCCTAACAAAGATCATCACTTTAAGAAGAACTTAAGCAAGGCAAATGAAATTACAACTCGCTACTTGATATGTTTCCTCAAGCGTTAATGAAAGCCAAGTAAAAGCCTTTATTAAGCGAACACGTAGCGTATGAGTGGCTTTTTGTAGAAAAAATCTATTATAGGATATTATTGTAGGCTTTACAACTTTAGACTCATAATTACGTCTTCTATTAATATTATTTATATTATTTATAACTAAATATTGCATTAAAGTGCATTTCTGCAATAGATATTTGCTTCCATTTGTGGTTTTGATATAAGTAGCTAAAGCACAAATTGCTTATGTACTGATAACAACTTAGAGGATAAAATCAAATTTCCTTTTAATAAGACGACTTAAAGTCAAATAGAAAAGTTCTAGTAATTCAATGAGAGTTTATTATGGATTGCACTTTGCAATCCACAACCGCAAAGAGATTATTTACATTTGAACTGGTTAGGAAAGTTACACTGAATTATAGAGCCAATCCATCTTCCAAGCACTCAAGTCTTTATGAAGTTGTCAGTGCTCAATTTTCAACTTTACACAACAAATTACTATAATCTTGGTTAGGTTATATGTGTTAGATAGATAACAAATTAAATTATTTCAGTTTTACTCTTCTACCATAAATAAATTTATTACAAAATTTAAATGGATATTATTGGTTAGATGGAAAAAATTGAAATTGGTTTTAATTCATAATTCTCTGGACAAATTTTTAAAATAAAAAAGTCGTTTCTTATTAAATAATATTTTTTTGCAAAAAATAAAAATAATAAAAACAAAAATAATAAATTAGAATAAAAATAATTATCATTATTTCTTTATAAGAAGAATTCAACACCAAATTCTAGGAAGTTTTGTTAAATATTTGAATTTAAAAATCGATTATAATTAGATATTTTAAAGTATTATGCAGTTTTTACTCATTTTTAAAAAATTAAATAATTTATAATATTAATTAGTAATACTGTAGTAGTAAAGTGAAACAAAGCTCACTTAGTAGATATGTAGTAATCAATTCAATTACAACTAATGGATTATGAAATGTAGAAATGTAAAAGACAAGCTCGAATTAATATATACAATTTAAAAGACTTTATCAAGGTTAATAATGCGAAAGTGAAAGCGGTTCCGAGGGGAAATAAGTCTCGCTGAAGAGGGGGTGTTTTAGTCCGTATACTACATATTAATGTAAGGGAGTCGGGCACACCATTCCGACGACGGTCGGTTTGACGGTGCATAAAGCATTCCATCACCTCACCACAAAAAAAAAAAAATTAAGGTTAATAATTACAAGTATAGAATTTAATATTCACGATCGTACTCTTTAACTGACGACTGCTGACTCCTGACTTAACTACTACTACTGCTTGGCTATAAAACTGCTTCACCGAACAGCTTCTACTTGACTGCTTAACTTAACCACTGCTACTGCTTGACTATAATATATAACTGCTTGACCGACTTCCATATAACTGCTTGACCGACTTCCACATAAATGTATAATCTAATACATAACATATAATGGATATTTGAAGGAACCGATCAATCTTAAGCAAGTGAAATGTTTAAATATAGACTAGTCATACCAAAGCATAATGGAAAGATGCAACATAGACCAGAAAGAATAGTTTTTGGAATTTTTATCAGCAATCTTTAACTTTCCTATTAGACGTCCTTATAAAAACAATCAGTTATTAGCTATTTGAACTTAAGCAACTTGGCAAAATTAAGATATTTTACTTTTAAGTTTGAATGGTTCATATGACTCTTCTGACCGCTGTACCGGCTATTAGGTTAATTCACTACAATAGTTTTTTATCAAAGCTTGAAAACTGATAATTCTTGCTGTCATCTCAAGCAGAAATCTCCAGAAAATAATCTCTTTTATCAACTAAACATATTGGTTTTAAAAGTTGATTCATGGCTAGGTGTATGGTATCAAAACGACATTGTTTGTATCAAAGAGAAACTTCTGCGTTAGTAAAAACAATCAGCTAGATCTAACTCACACATCAACTAAAGTATTTTTAGTAGATTTTTTAGAAAATCATTTAATTTTTAAATATTTTGAAGCAAGCTGGCCATCATATCACAACTACGTTCTAAATTACAAACTCCTTGCCTTTGCAAAGAAATAATTTTACAACACTGAAATATTTGAAATATAACAGATCAGACCTTGTAGTTACATGAAAAATTATTTGATATTCTAATTATTGTGCCATTCAAGTTAGCTAGAGAAGTGCCTTATTATGGTACTTCTATCGACTTCTTCAGAACTTCTTACTTCAAGAATTAAATTAATTTCTCGGACAAACACATACATTTTTAATCATGGGCATCCGTTTTCTTATATTCTCCTATTTTATTTTATTCGATCTATTTTATCATGTAAAATAATTTTTAATTTAGAAGTATTAAAACAAAACATAACTAACTACCAATACATTAGATCTGTGTTTCTCTTATTTATGAGAAAATAACAAATAACAGTCCCACTTTATATTATATTTTAGTACTTAACATACTTCATATTATTTCACAATTCTATAATAATTCTGAACAATTCGTTTACCAAAGAAATTAAACATTTTTCCATTGGATTTTTTCTATCATCATCATCACCATAATCATCGTCGCGGCAACTGTTTTCCAGTCTTGATCTCAATCATTAAGTCACATCACTTATCTTAATTTTGACCCGCTGTTATCCAAATGGGCCTTCAAGGCTCCAAGTGCCCTGATTCCCACCATTCTTTCAGTAACTTTAGAAGAAACTTTAGAGAATTTTATCTATATATTATTTTTGAAATATTAATAATTTTTGCATTACATTTCCTTCAATATCGTAAATAGACTTATTTATCTTGGACAGACTCGCCGGCACCATATAGCATATTGAACAACACAAAATCATGTACAGTACTTGCGTCAGTGTAAGGGCCGTTTAAGAAAACTAAAGTTACACAGTGGACCACCTGAATCTCAAAGCCTATATAATAATCCCCATGTAATAATAACAATATTCCCACTGCATACTTTCTCTTCTTCTTCTTCATTCTATTACGTTTCCAGGGGAACATTGGGCCTGAATATGGTTCCCAGGGGAACTGAATACTGAATATAGTTAATAGTTTGATATTGATATTGATTATGATATGAATAATAACAACGAATTGATTAATGGAGTTTTCGATCAGTAAGTCTGGATACAATCTAGATTTAATCTCGATCTGTCAAATTTTGTTGCCCAATCGAACATTTTTTAGAAAAAATTAACTTTTCTATAATAAGGTTAGTAGACTTTTATATTTTTCAGAAATACATTTATCGAATCAAATCACACTTTATCTGAGAAATCATATAAAACAACTGTCAATATCAGGGCTATTTTGCTACTCTGTCAAAATATATAAAGTATTATAAGTTAATCTTAAGTGTTATACATTTTGCCCGAGATTTTCCAATCGAAAATACAAATTACACTAAAAGTGCATTAAAAGTGCATCTCGATGGAAAAATTACCTCCGATTTACGAATCGAAAACTCAACAAGTAATTTTTT